GGAATTGAAATGGAATTCACAGACCTGTGATACACTTGCTGATGAGAATAAAAACCCTGAAAAAGGAAAACATGGGTATAAAGTCAAGCAAGAATGTATTTGTTGAGATTGGGAGGTTGTACGTAAAAGCGGAGTAAGATGATTTAATAAGGTGGAATGAGTATATCAGTAAGGGCTTTTAGAAGTAAAACAGGATGATTCTTTTAAAGAAAGCGTATTATTTAAATGAATTTAATGTGTCCCATAATACTTGCACTAATTGTTAAAATTAAAGACTGATCTAATAGATAGTTTTTGGAAAAAATGAGGAAGACCCAAACAAAGAAATCAATACTTGAGAATTGCAGCCAGTTAAAAACACTTTGGAGTTGTTTTTCTTTAACCCGGAGTCCTCTGGCCTCTAGAGAGAAGTGTTCTGAGAAAGTATTTTTGCTGAACCTTCTCTTTATGCTTTTACAAAAGCATAAAGCATATTTATTGCAACATGTAAAGTGCCTTTGACATTCAGGATCAAATCTGTTTAGATTGAGTGCACAGAAGTGAAAAAACACATTAGGAGCTTCATTTTCATATGTCCTGTGTAGTTCAAATAATCCATTTCCCTTTCAGGGGTTTGTTGGAATTTTTTTGCTGATGACCAGAACATGTTTAAATATTTGTCTTTACTTGTTCAGAGCTGTGCAAGGAGCAATTACTATCAGTTGACTCACCAGAGTTCATTGTATTTTGAGCGTTGTTGATGTCAGCTAACTGTGCAGGTGGAACACATGGTGCTTGAAATATTTTTTCTGCTTTATATTACTGATATGAGTTTGTGTGCTAAGTTTTATTAATTATAGGCTTAGCCAGAAAAAAGGTGACAGACTGTGGTGGTTTCACCCACAGGTAAGACCATGCAGTCTTGCACTCACTCCCCCACCCAGTGAGATGGGAAGGGAATCCCAACGAAGGGGTCCTGGATTGGAATGAGGACAGGGAGGGCTCACTTACCAATTATGGTCACGAGCAAAACAGACTCAACTTGGGGAAGAAAAATCAATTTAATTAATTACCAATCATCCAAGTAGCGTAGTGAGACATAACAACCACATCTTAAGAGACCTCCCCCCCACCCCTCCCTTCTTCCCAGGCTCAAATCACTTTGCTCCCGATTTCTCTACCTTCTCTCCCCCAGTGCCACAGGAAGGCAGGGAATGGGTGTTGCAACCGGTTCACCATTGCTGCTCTTCCCACCATGAAAGTTCCCCTCTACTCAGCCCTGGTGAGGCCCCACCTGGAGTACTGTGTCCAGTTCTGGGCTCCCCAGTACAGGAAGGACAGGGAACTCCTGGAGTATGTCCAGTGAAGGGCAGCTAAGATGACTGAAGGACTGAAGCATCTTTCATATGAGGAAAGGCTGAGGGAGCTGGGCCTGTTCAGCCTGGAGAAAAGATGACTCAGAGGGGATCTGATTAAGATTTATAAATATCTAAAGGGAGAGTGTCTAGAGGATGGGGACAGACTCTTCTCATTGGCACCCAACAATAGGACGAGAGGCAATGGTCATAAACTGCAGCATAGGAAGTTCCACCTGAACATAAGGAGGAGCTTCTTCACTGTGAGGGTGACTGAGCACTGGAACAGGTTACCCAGAGAGGTTGTGGAATCTCCCTCCCTGGAGATATTAAACAAAACGGTCTGGACAAAATCCTGGTTCATGTGCTCTAGGAGTCCCTGCTTGAGCAGGGTGGTTAGACTAGATGACCTTCAGAGGTCCCTTCCAACCTCAAACATTCTGTGATTCTGTGAAAGTCCAGGAACAAAGTGTTCCAACGTGAGCTTCCCATGGAGTCAAGGACTTCAGGCACAGCTCCCAGCTCCGGCATGGAAACATTCACGGGCTGCAGACAGGCCTTCGGCCCAGCACATCTCCTTCCCACACCAGCTCTGTGGGTCCACCCTTGCTTTGGCACTGAGTGTCTCTGGCATCTCAATACAGTCATACCTGCCCTCAGGCTCAGCTTTCTATTCCAGTGTCGAGTCCTCCATAGCCTACATGTGGGTATCTGCTCCACTGTTGAACTTCCATGGGCTGCAGGGACCTCCTTTACCTTCTCCTACTCCATGCATGTTGAACTGGGTGTCTGAGGTTCTCTGTCCTCCACCTCCTCCTCCTTCCTCCTGGCAATGATGCTCTCTTCTTTGTTTAAGCCAATGGTTGTCTTTTGGTCAGTGGCCTCTCCTGCAGGTTCTCTCCACATTCTTCCTTTCAAGCAGTCCTTCCTCTCATAAATATGGATTCACAGAGGCATTTCTCTATTGCTAATTTTCTCAACCCAGGCTGGAGGCAGGTACACCTTAGAGCCAGGGGAGCTTTGTGAAGCTTCTCACAGAGGCCATCACTGTAGCCCCTTCCTCCACTACCAAAACCAGCCCCCCATACACAAACCCACAGATTCACACTGTTTATAAATATGTTTGTCAAAACATATGCTCAAGGAAACGCAGATTCTGTGATTAGTCTTTGACCTTTGAGTTTTTCACTTAATGCCTGAAAGTTGCTTGGTTTTGGTTTTTTTTTGAAGTTGCTGTAAAAATTGTAAAAATGACTTGTTATATTGTGTTCTAATCCACTGTAATAAAATTAAAACAGGTCAGCTAGCCCACAGCTGTCCTGTAAGTCCCCGTGCATTTCCATTCTGAATTCTAGATGCCTGGTAAATTTTAAATGATTGCTAAATATGTAAGTACTGTCATACCGAAGTAATGAGTGGGTGCAGGCATGTAAACTTATGTGACATTTGAATGTATTTCTAATCTGAATGACTTGTCATATTTTTTCCAGCACATGACCACAATCAACATATCTATATTCAAGTTTCCCTTGGGCTAATAAACCCCGAGACAGCTGGCTGCAAATATTGAACACTGGACTGATACTGCCCTTTGCAGTCAGATGGAGACTGTGGAGGAAAAGAGTGATCTCCTTGGTTTGCAGACAGAGAACAACATGGAGCAACCATTCACTGTCAGCTCGTTGGTATGTATTACAAAGAAAAGCTTTAATGGCTTAGCACCCTTTCTTTCAAGTAGGAAACAATTCAGGAGAGCTGTTCAGCAGTGTTGACTGTCAGCTACAAGAGTCTCTTCCTGCCTGCTGCTAGTTCCTCCCATGTTCTGTCTGACAATTTTGTTGGAATTTATTTTATTTCTATATATGTGGTTTATGGGGTTTTAGCTTGTTTCAGTGGTCAGGTTTTTAAGAAGTTGAAGTGAACATTTTGAATAGAAGGAGTAAAAACTTTCACAAAGTAAGAGAAAACTTGCAGTAGCCACTTAATTAGCCACTTAACAGGAAAGTAATGATTATAATAAGCAGCTGTGCTTCTTCTTCAGCAGAATTCATTCTAGCTTCTTAGGCTTCAACTGCCTCTTTTGACACGGTAAATGAACATTTGAAATGAACTGTTGACTGACCAGGGAAATGCATTGTTCTTTTTTAGCTGAACTATACCTAGCAGTCATACCCTACACATCACTTAATAGGAGTCTGAATATTCAAGCCCTCCACCAAATTATGTCAATAACTTAAGGCAGAACCTTGCAGAATTCAATGTTTGGGGGATTCTAAAGAGAACACACTTTGTGTTGCCTTCAATAGTTTCTACAGGGGTTTACTTAATTCTATCTTAATTTTTTTTCTGGGATTTTTTTTGTAGTTTGAAGATTTGGGGAGTGGGATAAGATCACTTTTATTTGTAGTTGCAGTAACAATTTGTTTGCAGTTGATTAACATGTTGGAATGTTTCAACATGTCTAGCAGTGGGGAAACCAATACTTATTTGAGAAAAAAGCTGAACACTTCACTTGAGTTTCTTGAATTGGATCACTTGCTGGAAGTGAAACACAATATCTGTTTCTCTTTGCTAATCTCTCTGTTCTTTTTCAGAAAAAGCTAGTAGCTATTCCTGACCATACAGATATCTCCGTGACCCCAGAAGAGAGAGTACGTGCCTTAAGCAAACTTGGCAGCAATATCACGATCAATGAAGATATCACTCCGCGTCGTTACTTTCGATCTGGAGTAGAAATGGAGCGAATGGCATCAGTATATATGGAGGAGGGAAACTTGGAGAATGCCTTTGTTTTTTATAATAAGTTTATAACGTAAGAAACCAGTTTAGTCATTACAGCTTGTAATTCTCAGTAAACTGAAATGAAGAGCTGCAGTAAAAATGGGGCACCCCTTTAGATTAGGAGAAAAATATTTGGCATTTTCGTGCAGAATAGCTTTGTTCTTTGGAGATTTTTAACCACAGACTTTGTTATAATTTCATCTCAACTGTTAGTATGGTAGTCCTATCCATCTGCATCCAGTTCTGGGGCCCTCAATGTAAGAAGGACATCGATGTAATGGAGCAAACCCTGAGGAGACCACAAGGATGATCAGGGAGCTAGAGCACCTCTCCTATGAGGTCTGAGGCTGAGAGAGTTGGGGCTGTTCAGCCTGGAAAAGAGAAGTCTCTGGGGAGATCTTATAGTGGCCTTCCAGTACCTGAAGGGGCTACAAGAAAGCTGGGGAGGGACTTTTTACAAAGGCAGATAGTGATAGAACAAGGGAAAATGGCTTTAAACTGAAAGAGGGTGGGTTTAGATCAGGTATTAGGAAGAAATTCTTGACTGTGAGGGTGGTCAGACACTGGAACAGGTTTTCCAGAGAAGCTGTGGATGCCCCCTCCCTGGAAGTGTTTAAGGCCAGGCTGGGTGAGACTTTGAGCAACCTGGTCTAGTGGAAGGTGTCCCTGCTCATGGCAGGGGGTTGGAACTGGATAATCTTAAGGTCCCTTCCAACCCAAACCATTCTATGATTCTATCTATTAACTGCCAGGCGTGAACTAATCTAATGTACAGATGTTTATGTTTACTGTACCAGGCTATGCTATGAGCAGTGGTTGCCACAGATTATTTTGTCAGCATATGGGTTAAATACAGTGCTTGGCTTAAAAAGCAGTGTTTGGATAAGATTTCTGAGCCTTTAATAGTTAAGCCCTATGAGCTTCTGCCAATTTTAAAGATGGTAGTATTTTACAGCACTTAAAAAGCCATTTTTTCATGTTTTTTACCTCTTTTCTTCTCCAAAAGGATTAAGCATAACTTATTGTTTCTTACAGGAGTAAATGCAAAATCCACAGTTTCTGTTCATTGTATAATTATGCTCCCCACCCAAAAAAAACAAATTCAGACAGCTTCCTTTAAAACTCTCAAAATAGCCAGCTGAAAAATATATCAATGGCAGTTTTAAACTTTTTAACTAGCTAGTTTTTCTGTAGGATTGATTGGTTCATTTTCTTGCTTCTGAAAGGTTTTTTTATATGCATATTTTAAAATTTTTATTATAGGAGACCTCTTCCCCCCCAGTTTATTTTCCTTATACTCTGAAAAGTAGACCAAATCTTTCTTATTCCACTGAATTTTAAATGTATGTATCTCTATAAAAAGAAGGTATAGAGGTGAACATTGCACAAATTACTGAAAGAATGATAGCAGCTGTGTATTCCAAACTCTTTACAGCAGAATATTGCCATAATTTAGATATCTGGGTAGGTTAATAATGCTGCAGTTAACTGTGCAGCTTGGTCTGATGTAAATGACTGCTTTAATGACAGTTGGAGTTGCATTCTGGACTTCCCATTTAAGATTAATCATTTCAGTTAAGGACAGACCAAGACAGCAGAAATAGGATTTATTAACACTGACTAGGGTGGAGGGTGCTTTTGGGGGCTATTTTTAGATGCTGGCTGCTAGTTAGTTCTTTTCTTTGAACCAACCCAACTACTAATGAAAAACAAAATATATTCAAGATAACCTCTTGTCATTACCCTATGTGTCCCATACAAGTCTATACAAGAATTTAAGTGTTATTTCAAAGAAATGAATGCATAGAAACCTGTTCCAAGTCATCTGGAATTCAGTGTTTAAGAGTTATGTGAAGCAGACTTTTCTGCCAACACAAAAGCTATTGCAGATATTCCTCTGGCTACTGAGGTGAACACATGCATGTTTAATTTTCTAGGTTGTTTGTAGAAAAGCTGCCCAGTCATCGAGACTATCATCAATGTGCAGTACCAGAAAAACAAGATATTATTAAGGTAGGGTTATGGTTTCCTGGCCTTTAAGAAATGTTTCCCCCAGAATGTGTCCATTCTTTCCCAGCACTCCTTTTCCCCCATTGTGCACATAGCCCATGGCTACCACCATAGCTTGAAATTCTGATATCTTTCTACACTGGTGAGTCATGTTATTTTGATTTAATCACTTGATCATTACTGGAAATGAAATTATTCTAAAAGGTAAACGAGAATGATCTCTGAATAAGTTGGTAGATTGTTGGAAACCTAGGTACACATATTTCTGAAAGTTTTCATATTAAAAATACACTAATTTAACAGTACTTACAGTTTGATTCTAGTCCCAGTTATGTGAGTGCCTAATGGTCCAAACTGACTATTACAGAGGGAAAGATTTGGAAAGAGAGATGTGTGCCATTACTGATGTCTGTGCAGTATTTGCTTACCCTGATAAATAATCAAAGTATATTTTTGCTTTCTTTATTACTAAATATGTATTTACTTGGTTTTTTACTGTTTTTTTCTTCCACTTCTGTGCAGAATATTTTCACTTTTTTTTTTTTTTTTCCTCCCTAAAAGAGGAATTTCAAGTACAGCCTCATACTGAGCTTAAAACATCTGAAATTGCCCAATGAAAAGCATAAGTGTCTCTTTCGATTTGTGCTGCCATATTTACTTGCTTTCTCTACTGTTAAAGCTGAATAATGTGATGATATTCAAGGCCAAAATTCTTCATGCCAGATTTTGACTGTGGCCCAGGGAAAACATCCCTGTTGAGAAAGCGCATCTGATATGCTCCCTTCTATGGCCCTCAGCAGAATTAATTAAGTACATGATCTCTCCCTTGCCTACAGCCTCTAAATGATTCTGTATTAGCCACTTCATCAGTAGAAAACATTGGGCATTGTTTTTGTTTTACAAAACAATATAGTTTTGTCTGCCAGGGCTGTCACAGGAAGCTACATAAGTGGCTATTCCTCCAAGTAAACACACACCCCCCATCCTACCTGAAACCCTGAAACTTCAACTTAGGGGTTTTTTTAATAAATTACACTTAGAACAAAAATGTGAAGTTATCACACACCTATTAAACAAAACAGAGATAGCAGGTTGCTAGAAAAAGGGCTAATCTTCCCTTGAGATAAGAAGTGGTCATGTCACACCTTTCATTGACAGTAATTAATATAGCTTTATTGAAATTTGTGTACTACAGAAGTTTTATAATCTGGTGATTTAAAGTGTATTTCTTCCTTTCTTTCCTGGAAGAAGAGCAGTATTTTTTTTTATTTACGTATCTTTTTAAAATCTGTGTTACAGCTGAGTTTGTTTTCCAGGTAGTTATTTTAAAAAGTGAAAAATAAGTTTATCTACCTTTCTCCCCTACCCTAAAGAAACTGAAGGAGGTTGCATTTCCACGGACAGATGAATTGAAGAGAGATCTTTTAAAAAAATATAACTTAGAATATCAAGAATACATGCAAAATAGGGTAAGTTTTACATAGTTATTAAATCATTGTTGGTATTAATATTTTTCTGTCATATAAAACCACTTAAAAGTTAAGCAGTAAAATGTCAGTTCTACAAGAGCCTAATCAGTTCATGGGCTGCTTAGAATGACTCTTCACTTCTCAGAATTTAATCAATTGGTCATTTGAAAGTAAGTAATGCAAGTGTGTGCTTGGAAATAAACTTACTTTGATATTTACTTAATAACTGTCTAGAAATATCCAAATAGGTCTTTGGTACACTCAGATTCTGTTTTATAAAGAGGATATTGTGGATACACTTATATGAGTATATGGAAAAGGTCCCTTTACTTTGAATATGCTTAAGTTTAAACTGATCCTGTTGAATCCATCTTGTATATTGAAGTCACAGAAAACAGGATCTGTAGTTCTAAACAATTGTTTTGGAAGGACCATCTGAGGGAAATAAATCTTTTTCTTTCCTTCCATTTTAAATGGACCTTAAGAATTAAGAATTAAAAAAACCCCAAACAAACAAACAAAACCAACAAAAAGAAACCCAACAACCATAAAATCCCAGCCCCCACATCCCATATTCCTGTCACCAATTGGTTTGAGGCTTGCTTTCCTGCTCTGTTTTGTTCATGACGTGTAAGAAATGACTTTGTGCTCGTTTTTATTATGTGCTTCTGGAGACGCACGATGCTTTCCTTTAACAGAGATCAGGGAGGGCTGTTGAAGCGTTCAGCTTCCCTTGCAGTCTTTGGGACAGCACGTGGCTTGAAGGCAAGGGGCCATAGGTCAGAGTGGGGAAGTCCTTTTTTTTTTATTTTTTATTACTTTATTATAGCAGGTAAATGAGGCAAGTGCTATCACTACTGAAATAAGAACGCAAAGCACCCCAGGTATGCAGATTGGAAAATTTGTATTAAGAATTCCTTTTACTTATTGTATTTCCTTCCATATCATACTACTTTTGGGGTTATAGTTGTATTTGCCAGCTCAGCAAACAAGTTCCAAAAGATTTAATTTTTAATGACAGGATTTCATGGCTTTATTAAACAATTAGATTGCTTCTTTCCCTTAATTTTTTTTTAGAGCTTTTTTTAGCATTCTGAGAATGTCGCTATTTTGCATATGTTTCAGAACAAATGTAAAACTGAATTACTGAAGAAACTAGAGCATCAAAAGCTAATAGAGGCAGAGAAGAAACGAATCGCGCATATGCGGCAACAGCAGCTTGAATCAGAACAGTTTCAATTCTTTGAGGATCAACTTAAGAAGCAAGAACTAGCTCGAGATCAGAAAATCAAAGAGAGCATGGTTATGTCTGAACAAATAGATGGAAGTATGCTATCTTGTATTTCTGTACCGGAGAACAGTTCCTTATCTGCTGCACTGCTTGAGAAAAAAGAGAGGAGCAGCACATCTGGTTGCACTGGACATTTTCCTCCAGTAAACCAGGTCTTAAAGCCGGCCGCTACTTTAAGTGCTGTCCAGAGTAAGTGCAGAGATTTTTTTTTTTTTTTACTTTTTTATTTTATCTGCCTCTGCTGCTTATAGCAGTCCGCATGTTGCATATGCATATATATATTTTCACTGTGAGGATGTCCATAGTGAAATAAGCATGAGCAGATTGATGTGCACACAACAGTTCCATCTAGTTTCCGCATTTTAAGTGAGGAGATCAGTTGCATAGTTTTACATTTTCCAGTTGAATACTAATAGATGGAGATCTAGAGATTGAGCCTCGGTGTCTGAATCTTGTTGAGGACTTCAAGGGAACAGAAGCAGAACCTGCAGTGGTTCACCCTGGAAAGCCCTGGCCTAGGAAATTGTATCAGCTCACTGTCACCTGAGGGTGAATGTGTTTTATGGGCTGGTGACCTCAGCTGAAGATGAAGTGCTTGTGCTGCAGATTTATTCTCATTAGAAATCTGTGATTTGCTAAGTACAATTCTTTCACTTTTAATAATTTTCTGTAATTGTGTACATTTCCTTATTTTAGGGAACTTCACTGTGTAAGCTGCAAATACCTTTTCATCCCTCTCACTCATTTTTTGTATGTGTGTTTGTTTTGTTAGCTGAATTGGCTGAAGCACTCCGAGGTGTCATTTTGCCCAGGGATCTCTGTCACAAATTTCTGCTGCTAGCAGAAGCAAATACAGTAAGAGGAATAGAGACATGTGGAATTCTCTGTGGAAAACTGGTACAGTTTAATTCCTATTTGTATGGGAAAAGAAATATTTGATAGTGCTCTATTTTCCTGTAATGTATTGATTTCAGAACAAAAGCAGATCTAAACAGTTAGTCTTTAATGTAATTAACTTCATATTATAACCTGGGTGGTCACTTCAGGAGTGTGGGGTTGCCTTATCAGGGAAACATCTGATCAAAGTACACTGCTGTCATTATAAAATGTAGCAAGTTTTTCAGCATACTGTACAATATAGGTTTTTTCGAGTACTTTCTGTGGCATTCAGCTAAAGTTAGTGAGGTTTAGTTACAGGACAATGAAATATAAAGACTATTAGAATCTACTGGAGTCATCAAATTCATAATGGCACAACAAAAAAAGAAGAAAACCCCCCCATCCAGCTGTAGAATGTCTGATTTTCAGGCTGTTTTTTTTCCTTTGACCTAGATAACACTTGATGTCCTTTCAGAGCAGGGAAAGATGTCATGGCTGATGCTGGCATACAAAGAATTTTAAAGATGATATCCAAGTGTATTTGAATTGTATAAAGAGAAAGAATAGCAAGAGTAGTGATGTTCCAAGTTTCACAGAAGTAATTATAGTATTCTCAAACTTCTTTTTTCAAATGTTTTTAATTTTTTTTCAAGGACATCCTTTTCACACTCCTTTCTGCGAGCATTTCAATCCAACAATCTCCTGTTGTTACTAATACATCTCTCTGTTTTCACTGAAAAAAACCACTAAGACGTATTTTCAGGTGCAGAAAGTCGGTATAGCTGCTATCAGTGGAGCTATACTGCTCTGTTTTAGCTGATGGGCTGACATCTTTCAGATTCTGATTCAGCATTTATTAATCAGTTAATTTGTTCCACTCTAAGTCAATGTTTGTTTTGCAGACACATAATGAATTTACTATTACCCATGTAATAGTGCCAAAGCAATCTGCAGGACCAGACTACTGTGACATGGAGAATGTGGAAGAATTATTTGGTATTCAGGATCAGTATGATCTCCTCACTTTGGGCTGGATCCATGTATGTACGACTCATAGATTCTGGCTTTTTCTAATATCAGCTTTGCATACTATGTGGAAGAAACCCTGGAAATAACAAACTAAACAAATAACTGCAATAATCCAAATTAATTTGGTTACTTAATTCTAATTGTAGCAATGTAAATGAGCACTAATGTTCTCCACAGATTAGTGTTTCTTAACAAAGTTGAGGCATCCTCTTGATACAATGGGCTTACTTCTACCAGTGCAACTTTTGTTTATGATGATTTAGGGGCATTTTATTACTTTCTAATGCCATTTATTTATCTACTATATTCAAAATTTGGGGGGGGTAATGTATTGTGTTTTTTAAATTTTATATTAATTTTACTTTTAGGGATTTTGGACAGTCACATCATCTCCCTCTGTCTTGTGCTTCTTCATTCCACCTTTTTCCCCCTATGATCAGCAATTGCTTTTGAATGTGTCTTCATAAACCTTGTACTCAAAAGCCAACCTAACAATGTAGAATCTGGGTTAATAGGAATTTAAGAAACTGTCCTGGTTTTTGCTATCACAGAAACCAACCTGGGGAAGTACTGATGCTTTCATTATTGTTCCTTCTTAAATGTATGTCGACCTTGATTTATAAGAAATATTTCATGATGTTGAGTTTTCCCTTTCTTTTTGTAGACACATCCAACACAAACTGCATTCTTATCCAGTGTTGATCTTCATACTCATTGTTCTTATCAGCTAATGTTACCAGAGGCCATTGCAATTGTTTGTTCACCAAAGCATAATGAGTGAGTTCTGTTTTTTCTAAGTAATATTTAGATATTTTTCCCTGCTCCTTATCTTAAAATTTGATCAAATGCAAACAGCACATCAATTAGGATGAAGGGCAGGAATACCGTATCTTGAGTTTGTTTTCTTTGTATTGTTTAGACTTACATTCCAGTCAGTTTATATGCACAGTATTGTTTCTGGCTTCTCTTTCCTCCTCCCTCCCAGCCCCAGGTTTTAAATTTTATTTATTTTTATACTCTGCTTAACCAAGGAGTAATGACAGGAGCTGTTCTTCTGGAAACCTCATTGCCAGCGAGCTACCACAGACTTAATTCTGTCTGATGAAGAAAGCAGAGGGGTTAGATGTATTTCTCTAGGCTGATTAAAAAATTGCAGTTCAGGGAGTAGAGGGATAAAGATCACTGTTTTGGTAATAAGGTTCTGGTTTTATACTTCATAAAATACAAACAATAAGTATCTGGAAAAGCCTGGAATTGTATAACAATTAATGTGAAGGTTTATAATGGAAAATGTTGCCCAGTGAGGGTGTGAAGTCTACATCCTTGGAGATACTCAAAACCTGACTGGAAATGGTCCTGGGCCACCTGCTCAAGGTGCTTCTGCTGGAGCAGGGGAGTTGGACTGGACAATCTTCAGAGGTTTCTTCCAACCTCAACAATTTTGTGATGCTGCTTTGGTGTGCTTGGAGTTTCAAGGCCCAGGGCTAACTCCATTGTTTAAGCTGTGCATTTCTTCAGCCTTTCTTTCTGGCCTTCTGCCCCTGTAGACTTCTGTGAATCCCATTCTGGTTACCTGACTTCCTATATGGGCCATTCAGGTAGCAGAGCTGTAAGTACAGCTTGAGTGGCAAGTACACAAGCACCAGGCTTTGTAACCTGCAGCACTATGTCTGCATACCTTTTGAAATCTCTGGTCCTGCAAACTTCTTTCACAGTTTATACTGATACCCTGTAACCAACTCTAACCTATTACTCCAATCTCTCTAACCTGTTACTCCTATCTGTAACATTTACTAATGAGGTGCTATCTTGTAATTATTAGGTATTCATGTTCTTTACAGAAGGGTGGGTTTTCTAGCTTTTTATTCAGTTCTCAAAGTATTAGGTCATGCATATGCAGCAGTGCATTTTCTAGTGCTTTGTATTGCTTGATTACCTAAAAGAATGGAGAGGCTGTGTATTGTCACTAGTCATTTACACAGATAGCTTAAAGACTGTTCTTTTTTAAGTTGCCCCTCGAGTTCAATAGGTGAAATGCAATTCAAAACCATCAAAGTTTCTGTTTTGCATCTATTCCTGTATGAACTAGCCAGCCCTTAGGAGGCTAACCTGACTAGTGGAAACAGCACCAGTAACTGTTTTTTCTTCCCTTCCCCTCTTTACAGGAATACAGCTCTCCTTAATTTCATATATCTTTAAGAGTCCAAGCTAGCCTTAGCTCCCATGTATCAGAGGTTATTGAGCACCATCCTGTTGTGCTTCTGTTAAGCTAAGCAATTTGTATGTGAAACCTTGGACTTGTATTATGGGAGCAGTATGTAACAGAAGTTTCATCTTTTGCTTTTCAGCACGGGCATCTTCAGACTTACTAATGCTGGCATGCTAGAAGTTTCTGCTTGTAAAAAGAAGGGATTCCATCCACATACAAAGGAGCCTAGGTTATTTAATGTAAGTGTATAATCTAACATGGTTTTGACTATGCAAATTCTTGCTCATGGTTCTGCTGCAAGCAGAAATTATATGTGCTTCAGATAGGGTTTCTTTATACTCCCCCCCCTCCCATTTTAATAATTCTTTACCCTTACTTCCCTGACCAAGGCAGACATCAGGAGTCTACTGAAGCAGTCATAGCAGCAATGAGATGAGTGTTACCCACTGTCATTCAAATGGTGATTAACCAGAGGCCACTACCATCAGTCACCACTGTTACCTGCTTTCAGAAGCAAAAGCCACAGTTTCAAGTGGGAGTTTTTCCTGGGCTCTTCAGTTTCTAAAAAAAGCATTCAGTTCCTCTCCCCAATTCTGGTGTCCCAACAGAAAAGCCCAGCTGCTAAAAAGTGCAATTATTAGTAGATTAAGCCTCATTTTCTTCATTGCCCATAAGTTTCACCTGTCTTCTCACAAGTGTGAGAATTAAAATTTTTCTCCATGGGGCTCATGTCAAATACAGAGCATCTCATATAGCACAAAATAAAATGATTGAATACAAAGAAGTAAAACTGAAAGACACTGGAATTTACTACTTTGTTGTAGGACTCCCAGAATGTCAGTATTATTCCTCAAAAGAAGGAAAGGTTGCATTTCTTTATTTTGTTTTGTTCTTTCACCATTGACTCTAGGGAAAATGAGAAGGTGGTCCAAATCTGAAAAATTTTAAGGTGCTTGTTCCAGATAGGTTCTTTTCAGTGGTCCTTTACAGGCTTAGTTCATGAATGAAGTTGTTAACTGGCCACATGAGCTCAGTTATAATCATTAGACACACAACCAATATCTCATATAAAACACAAATATCCTTTCAAGTACAATTCCCAAAATACATTGATCTTCCAACAAAAACAGTAGGATCAGAGCTGCAGGAAAAAAATATCAGGGGTGATAATACAGGACGCTTCACAAAACCTGACTAGAACAATCCTAATCAGCATCTGTCTGTTTACTGGTAAAAGGTCTTCTCCACAGACCCAAAACAAGCTGTTACTTAGTCATGACTGTGGCTAAAGCCACAGTGTAGTCCCAGATGCTTTAAAAATCCATCATGTGGGCAGGAAGAGAACAGCATACACGCTTTCCTTGCACCTGTTTGAATGCAGCATGCAACACCTTCCCCCTCCATTTTGGGTATCCCATGCTGTGATACAAAAAGGATAGCACAGAACCGTAATCTGTTTCACAGGCCAAGCACTATGTAATATCCCCTTTAGAAGTTTATTTCTGATTGTATATTGTAGTCCTTTATTCATTCAGAAGTCTATACCTGTGATGGTCAGGTTTGCCTGTGAACAGGCACAGTGACAGGTACAATCAAAGTTGGATAGATAGGCATGGTGTTAAGCAGGCTCTGAATATTAAAAGGAAACAATAGCCCTCATGCTATTTTACTGAAACTGATTTCTTTGAGTAATGAGTTGACTTCTTTTGTAGCCATGTAACCATGTGGTCGGGAAAGACATAAAGATAATTGTGATGGATCTGAGGTGATACGGATGGATGGTAGCAGTGTCACTACACAAATGGCCAAACAGAAAAATGGATTCCTGTTTTTCCTACATTTTCAGAAATTACTTTTATATTTATACATTTTAGACATAATGGTTTGATATTTATTGCTCTAGCCTGGTTTGGAGTTATTTTGTTGCTATGTCAAGATGGAGTTCAGTGGCATTACCCCTGAATCTGTAAACAAATCTCACCTATAAAACACAACAATAAAATGAGCTTCAAACACCAGTAACTGTGTTGAAATAAGTAATGTTTCTTTTGTCACTTGTTGGCACTAATTGTTTTATGAGAATTAGAGATTTTTAACATTGGTTAGCTTTTTGTGACTTCCAGCTATGTATATCTCTTCACTGCTTCAGTGAATTTATGTTGTACATAGTAGATGCAAATGGATCAGTTTGGGTGATGCAATTTTTTTTTTTCCCCATTCCATCCTTGTATAGCTCAAGTTTCACCTAAGTTAAGCAGAAAACACTTAGGAAAACACACAGACCTTTACCTGAGAGCTGACCCTCATCACATCTTGGCATAGCAGAAATACATCAGAATCCCTTGGAGAAATGCGTCTTCTGCAGCAACACTCTAGTGGAAACTTTTATTTGAAATCAAGCTGTTATCCTGAAAGGGTTGTGTTGTTTTGGTTTGGTTTTTTGTTTTGGTTTTTTTGTTTGTTTGTTTGTTTGTTTTTTGTAGAGTTAGATAAAAAAGATCTAGATAGAATTAGAAGGAAGAACCATAAAAAGTTATTTGCTCTTACGAGAGTTTATTTAGTGTCTGTTCCAAGAGCCTAGTTGGCCTATACTTTAAATAATAAGGTTAGTACAATAAAGTTTGGAACATGTTCTAACAGTCAGAAGCTGAACAAGATCTGTAACCCAGGGGTTACACAGACATGGTAAATAACAGGTGCTGTTACAAAAAGCTTACAGTTTGAAAGATAATGAGTAACAAGCAGGTGAGGTAAACTATTGAGTTTAGACAGGAAACCAGGTAACAAAAATAAATAGCATCCTCCTTTATCCTGAACTCTAATGCATACAGATTGCAGCAAGTTCTTTAGAACTGACCTTTTCTAGGTCTGTCTCAGTGGATTCTTTATTCATATATATACTTTTAAGACAGTATTACTAGTGTCAGCTTCTATGCATATACTTCTAGTTGAATATCAGTTTTGATGTATTTAAGACTCTAAATGGAATCAGAAAAATCACAGAAAGAGAAAACCATTATTATTTTATCTATATTATCTACTTTGCTTACTTTACCCTCCCCCCCCAAAAAAACAGTTCTGAAAAGAAAGTATATTAAGCCAGCTTAATTACCCCTTAGACCTTGCCAGAAATCACAACATAAAAATAATAGGCTGCACTCATCTTGAGGGCATATGACAGGACATGTTCAATCTAATATTAGTGTTCAGATATGCTCCCAAAGGAACAGGGTTTGTTTCTTTAAGAAAACACACAAAATTGTTGTAATATGCACTGTATACCTCTGGGCCACACACTGTAAAAAATTTGCTTTTCCAGCATGACAGCTGTGACTTAAGAAATTATATAGATAGATAACTTTTTTGGGTAGAGCAGATGCAAAGTAGAGTGCATGTGCTCATCCTGATATCAGTATCCTTTGGTACCACCCCAGAACTTTGGAAAAACCAAGACTGGTGGTCCTGTTTGCAGACTAAAATGTTTACTGAGGCTAAACGTTGACAATGTGCAGCCTGACAGCTGAGCATTTTCTAGCATTGGTATCATTGAGCAAAAGGTACCATTTTTTCTATTAAGCCCAGTATACTGTAGTATCAAATTCAGGTCACAAGATGGAGCTTCAAACCAGCTGGAAGGATACCTCCACAAATGCCTTTTTTTTTTTTTTTTTTTTAAATAGGAGCAGCAATTTCATAGCATATTTAAAAAGGAATTCCAAAAAAATACATAGTATCCAATTAATTGGAGTCATTATAATGAAAGATTTATGAAATGAAATGAAATTATAAGAAGGTATTTTCCTGAATACATTCACAGTAATACAATAAGGACACATAAAAGATAAAGCAATTTAAAAGCATTTGCGGTGAACAATGGATGGGCCAGCTTCATCATATTCCTGTTTGCTGATCCACATCTGCTGGAAAGTAGACAGGGAGGCAAGAATAGAGCCTCCAATCCAGACGGAGTACTTACGTTCAGGAGGAGCAATGATCTGTTTAAGAAATAAAAGCATTAAATACCACTATCCACTGTGATATCTGATATTAAGAAAAGCACTGTATCTATGTGTTAGTGTCAGACCTACACTACAGTTAGCCACTGCTGCAAGCACTAAAGTTAAAAAGCTGTTATTTAAGTCTGAGACTAAGTCCTCAATTTCTCTGCCCGAGTCAGTCTGCCCAGTAAAACTAGTGCATTTGTGTATTCACAGCTGCATATGAGAAAAGGGGAGATGATTGCTCTGGAAACATAACGATAGCCCAGGAGGGCTTGGAAAAATGAGTGACCTATAGAGCACTCTTATTGGTATAACTGGTAAAATGTTTGCAAAGCAAAGAATGGAAGATTTGAAGCAGCAGAAGGAAGATTGGCTGGTCAGAGGCTCTTTCTTTTCTGAACTTGTAGGCCAAGGACAAAAACAGCATTTCTTCTCTCCCATCTCCATCAGCCAAAAAGAGCTGAAGAAGCTCACATTTAGCCCCAGAGGAAAATTTCTGCTGCTGAGTGCACGCTATTCTTCTTTGGCCAAGCTAGGGCAGTTTGCAGAATTCACTGTGAACAAGGAAATGAGAGAAGAGGCTTTCTTCTTCCAGCAACAAAGTTACCAGGTGGTGATTATTTACTAGAAGGTACAGACATTATTCAAAATATGTACAAAACACTTACTTTGTAAAGTATTGCTATGTTTCACTAGGTTCTTGAGGACTATGTACATGCCAACTCAAGTAGTCTACAAATAATTGCACCATACCTTGATCTTCATAGTGCTGGGAGCCAGAGCAGTTATTTCCTTCTGCATCCTGTCTGCAATACCCGGATACATTGTAGTGCCTCCAGACAGCACGTTGTTTGCATAAAGATCCTTTCTGATGTCTATGTCACACTTCATGATGCTGTTGTAAGTGGTTTCATGAATGCCAGCAGACTCCATGCCTGGAGAAGTTACAGAGGAACACTAAGGAAGCAGCTCTGTACAGAGACTTAAAATTGTTGACATGGAACTGAGAATATGAACTTTAGTGCCTCTTTGGAAGACATCAGCCTTCAGAGTTGCAGAAATCTGGAAGTTATTCTTCAGCTGCCTAAATTATTTGCATAGGGGTTCCTTGGTGTACAGCCCTCCTCTTCTCTTTGCACTCACAACTCCTCCTTAAAAAGAAAGCTGGGGGTGTGGAACAGTAAATTTTCCACTAGGCTTTTGCAGGCAATCTCAAATGTCCTAAGAATTCCTTATATGGTCTTGGAATAATTTTTTTCTTTTTCTTTTTTTTTTAATTTTTAAATTGAGCCAGTTCAGAGACAGAACAGTCAAAATATGTCCTAATACCTCTAAGTATGCAACTACTTTATTTCTGAAGCTGAATTCTGCCGATTGGCAGAACCAGCCCTGGTTTTCTGTGTGACCTCATTGCAAGTCTGCCTTCATGGCTGTTGATTAGCATGGAATTGTGTTGGCTTTGCTCTGCAAATGTGATGAATTAGGACACCATGGATTCAGGATTTGGAGCAGTCTCTTGGAAAAATAAAAGTAGTGCTCCCTGCAAGCACATTCAAACTACAATCCTCACGCTATTTAGAAAAGTGGCTTTGCAGCCATACTTGTCGTAGTGGCCAACTGCAAACTTACAAAATGGCATGGGTCCAATGACAGTTCTCCCCACCATATTAATAGTGCTGTTCTAAAAGATTATTTTATAATGTGTGCTAGGACATATCTGTGTATACGTTTAAGTGAGCTAGGAAATGGGACACAATTAAAAGAAAATAGGGGACTTGATATTTATGCACACTTTAACAAAGCAACACAGTCATTCAACCTACCAATGAAAGATGGCTGGAAGAGGGTCTCTGGGCAGCGGAAGCGTTCATTTCCGATAGTGATCACCTGACCGTCAGGAAGCTCATAGCTTTTTTCGAGAGAGGAGGAAGAGGCAGCAGTGGCCATCTCATTTTCAAAGTCCAGGGCCACGTAACACAGCTTCTCCTTGATGTCACGGACAATTTCACGCTCCGCTGTCAAGAGGATTCAGTCTTAAGAATGATATTCAGGAAGGACCCAGATATGTTGACAAGTTGTTCCCTTTCATTCTTCAACACCCCTCTACCCCATTTTAAGGAAATCCCCTGCTAGTCTTGCAGGGGACTTTCTTGTTAGATTCCTTCTTGTATCTAATCCACTGCAGGAAAAAACTGCTAGGCCTTCTAAGGTCACTAGAAATTCTGCACATTGAACAACTCTCCTCCTCAGTGAGCAATATGTCCTTACCAGTGGTCACAAAGGAGTAGCCACGTTCTGTCAGGATTTTCATGAGGTAGTCTGTAAGGTCACGGCCAGCCAGGTCCAGACGCATGATGGCATGTGGCAAGGCGTAGCCTTCATAAATTGGCACATTGTGGGTGACGCCATCCCCAGAGTCAAGCACAATCCCTTTGAGAAGATAACACACAATTTATTCTCAGGTGCAAACCAACACGCTTAAATGCCTGTGCCACCTTTCCCAGAGGCCTACCTGTGGTACGTCCAGAAGCATAGAGGGACAGAACAGCTTGAATAGCTACATACATGGCCGGCACATTGAAAGTCTCAAACATAATCTGAAATGCAATTAAAATTATTGCCTTAACAGTAGGGCTTTTAGCTCAGTTGAAGTAATATCTTGAAAGACAAGGAGGAGACAAGATTTTCTTATTTCTTGATAGTTAGCAATAACAAGGAAGGAAAATACAAAATCTAAATAAAAAAATATCTGTATCTAGCCTTTATCTGTACTGTATGAATATAGACACATGCACGTGTTAAAGATAATTTTGTAATAGGCCTGGTCCTAAAAAAAATATTAAGATGATGTTAAGCTTGGACAGACTGAAGTTCTCACATTAAAAACTGATACACTGATTTTCTAGACTAAGTGAGCTTACCTGGGTCATTTTCTCTCGATTGGCTTTGGGATTTAGTGGTGCTTCAGTCAGCAGAGTTGGATGTTCCTCAGGTGCAACACGGAGCTCATTAT